CTCTGCTCCTATGATGCTGCTTGGCCTGCTGTGTTCATCCAGCCCTGCACCTTGTTGTCTCCCTGTAAGAATGTTGGTGCCTCTCCAGTTTAGGTGAAACCTGTCCTTCTTGTCCAGGTCCCTCCTGCTGTGCAAGAAATCCCAAAGATCCAGATATCTAAAGCCCTCCCTCTTACATCACACTTTATCCATGCATTCAGCTGTATTATCTTCCTATTTCTGGCCTCACTAGCGCATGGCACAGACGTTATGCCAAAATTACAATCATAGAGGTGTTGCTTTTCAACTTTCTACCTAAAAGCCATACAGAGATGAATTGACAGCCCAAGATGGTATATTGCAGAAGGAAATAGTCATTATCTGGAAAGAGTTAAAAAGAGAGATACTAAAGTGCACAAAGAATTGAATAATGTCTGAGGAAGGCCAGAGATGTGCTATATTGGACAAATATAAGCAACACAATCAAGGATTGCATCAGCCAGATCAGTGTCAATAATGAATATTTAAGCAGGTTAGAGAGACAATTGCAGGAAATTACCATCTTGCCACAGTAAACTACTGTTCTGCCTGCTGGGAGGTGAACCAGTTGACTTCAATGACTATACTGCGATTGTTAAATGCCTAAAAGCATGCTTCAGCTGTTTTGGCATTCCTGATAACAGCCCTCAGTCCATGTGTGAACAACTCAGTTGTTTCATATGATTGGGAAATTCATCAACACATCATCTCCGCACCATCTGGTGTGCGTGTGCGCATCTACGGATTGGGGGAGAGGGGAGCGGGGCAGGGGGGGAGAGAGAATGGAGAGGTGGTGTTAGTGTTCCAGATTTCCAGCAGTTGTTGTTTAAAAAAAATTCCTGTTTTCACTTCTGTAAGGCCTAATTTGAAGGTTATACTCCCTTTGTCGGGTTTTCTGCAAGAGGAGAAGTTGTTTCTCTTTATTTGATGGTGGAATGGCTCAATGCTAATTTGAAAAAGGTAAGTTTGCTTCCTGCTTATCATTGTCTTCCTTTATTGAATCCTAGAGATTCTTGGAAATGGCAACTTCACCTCCTTCTCAGCTGTCTGTTGGTTATTTGGTCGATATCTTTATGATAAGTTACAGTATCCTATTGGTTTGGTGGAATCATGTTGGGCAGGAACTCCCATTGAGGCTTGGTCTTCCAAACGAGTCCTGCACAAATGTGGAATTTCTTTCAGGTAAGTTTACAATTTACCATCTTTTAATTGTATCTTGGTTTGCTATGTCCGCAGAACAATTAACAGCTGTCAGACTGTTCAAATGGATCAGAACAAGGGAGGCTATTGACCCAACTCTTCCTTGGACAGTAGACAGTATTGGATAGAATAAAGCAATGAGTCTGTCTTGCCTGTCCCAAGAATGTTGTTTGCACAATCATCCACTAATAAACCCTCAGTATGACCATACACCTCTTAACCAGCCAACTCTTGCAGGACTTGACCTATATCTTCTGCAGCAGTCCACTCAGCATCCCTGTAACATTTGATGCATCACTCATACAGCATCCAGCCTCCTCCTTCCACTACTCCCAAGCCATCACACCCGCAGCCCTCAACCCATCAACCACACATCTCTTAATCCAAGATTTAGCCCCAGTCTGTCATGCCTGCAGCACACAGACATCACCTCTGCAGCATCCAGCCCCTAGGATTGACTCGAGCAGCTCTTAACTTGTAACCCACTCATCAAGCAGCACCCAAATCATCAACCTAACCCAGTGGTCACGTAGCACTCAAGCTGCCCCCTGCGCGTCACTTGACCCCACACTGCGCCAATACAAATTTTTACACAGCACTTGTAGTGTAAAGTCTACAGCTGAAGAAAATAGAGAGTAAAAATGGAGTTTCATGGATGTGCAAACACACAGAAGCCACCTCCTTTATACAGAAATTTTCATTGAAGAAGGAAAAGAGCTGAAGAATTTTAAAGGGGTTGAAGGATCAGAGGAACCTAGATCCCACAATCAGATCTATGAAGCTCACAGAATAATTTGCTGTGAAAGAGACACCTGAAATCCAACATTTTACAAATGAAAGCTTAGTAGAAAGATAAGGAAGTAGTGTTACACCTTTATAAAACATAGAATAGAATCCCTACAGTGTGGAAACAGGCCCTTTGGCCCAACAAGTCCACACGGACCCACAGAGCATCCTACCCAGACCCATCCCTTTATAACCCACCTAAGCTACATATCCCTGAACACTACAGGCAATTTAGCATGGCTAATTCACCTAGCCTTCACACCTTTGGACTGTGGGAGGAAACCGGAGCACCCAGCGGAAACCCATGCAGACATGGGGAGAACGTGCAAACTCCACACAGTTGCCTGAGGGTGGAATTGAATGTGGGTCTCTGGTGCTGTGAAGCAGCAGTGCTAACCACTGAGCCACTGTGCTGCCCACTGGTTAGGCTCCAGCTGTAGTTTCCTGTTCTGTTCTGGGCATGTCACTTCGCACAGGCTAATGAGACCTTGGAGAGATTGCTGATGGTTTCATAGATGAAGAAACCCTTACAGTGGCTGAAGAATTGAGCTCAGGAGTCATACAACACCAGGTTATGGTCCAACAGGTTTATTTGAAATCACAAGCTTTCAGAGTGCTGCTTCTTCGTCACTTCACCTAACAAAGGAGCAACTCTCCGAAAGCTTGTGATTTCAAATAAACTTGTTGGACCATAACCTGGTGTCGTATGACTCCTGACCTTGTCCACCCCAGTCCAACACCAGCATCTCCACACCATGAAGAATTGAGAATCACAGAACACAACTCTAGATCTTTTGCCAATCACCTTAAAACTGTGTTTGAGAATTTTATTATAATCTGTAATACAGTGATGAAAGGGCAACGGAAAGTGATTCAGTTATAACTTGCAACAGGATTTAGGGAAATACCTGAAAATGAAATAATTTGCAGAACTGCGGGAAAAGGCATGAGAGTGAGAATAATTAGTAAACTCTATTTTAGCCAGTTGAAACAGGCATTCAGCCTGATTGTATGTTCTTTAAATGGCTTCAAGGCCACTTATATGCCTGCAGTAGAGTCGAGTGGAGCAAAGTACATTTTCGTAGGAAGAACATGGAGAAACTGTTTAATGTTAAGAGGATAGTTCTAAAACGGTGTGCAAGAACAGAGACCTGTTTGTATATGTACATAAGTCATGACAGGATAGGTTGCGGGCAGTTCATAAAGCACACAGTATCTTCGGCTTTATTAATAGGAGCATATAGTGCAAGAACAAAGAAGTTGTGTTTGACTTATATAAAACTCGAGTTCAGCATCAGCTCGTGCACCCAGTTCTAGGCACTGCACTTGGAGATAGGAAACTAAGGTGAGATTTGATTGAAGTATTCAAAATCATCAGAAGTTTGGTCAAAGTAAATAGGCAGAAACTCTTCCCACTTGTGAAATGATCAAGAATGAGAGAGCAGATTTAAACTCATAGAATCCCTACAGTGTGGAAACAGGCCATTTGGCCCAACAAGTCCACACCCCCCTCCGAAGAGCATCCCACCCAGACCTATTATCCTACCCCTGATTTCCCACGTCTAACCCACACATCGCTGGGCACTATGGGCAATTTAGCATGGCCAATTCACCTACACTGCACATCTTTGGACTGCGGGAGGAAACTAGAGCACCCGGAAGAAACCCACGCAGACACAGGGAGAATGTGCAAACTCCATACGCAGTCGTCTGAGGCTGGAATCAAACCTGGGTCCCTGGCGCTGTGAGGCAGCAATGCTAAGCACTGAGCCACCGTGCTGCAAACTAATTAGTAAAAATACAAAAGTGTTGTGAGGAAAAATTTCAGACAGCAACTGGTTAAAGTTTGAAATGTACATCTTGAGCCTGTGATGAAGGCAGATTCAACAAAAACGTTCAAAAGGAAATTGGACTGTTTTCTTAAAAGGAAGAATGCAGGATTATGGGTTAAATTTCACTTGGCAAATTGCTCATTGGAGTGCCAGGACAGACACGATGGATGGGCCAAATGGCCTCATCCTCTGAACATGAGAATTAGGTCCAGAAGCAGGCCACTTGGCCCTTTGAATCTGCTTTGCATTTAATAAAGTCATGGTTGATGTGATTTTAACTTCAACTATACATTCCTCCTATTCTTCCTATGCTTAGTAACCTTTCATCCGCTTGCTTATCAAGAGTCTATCTACCTTTACCTTAAAAAAATTCAAAGATTCTGCCTCTGCTGCCTTTTGAGGAAGAGTTCCAAAGGCAGTAAACCTTCTGAGAGAAAAATATATTCCTTACCTGTCTTGTTTAGATGACTCCTAATTTTCAAACAGTGATGTCTCATTCTAGATTCTCCCACTAGTGGAGATATCCTTTCTATATCCACTATGTAAAGTCCTCCCAGGATCTTATAAGTTTCTGTCAAGTCAGCTCTTATTGGTCTAATCTCCAATGGATATAAGCCTAATCCATCCAGCCTTTCATCATATGTCAAAGCACTCATTCCAGTTATTAGACTAGCAAACCTTCTCCGAGATGTCTGTAATGAATTTATATAGTTCCTTAAACAGGACGATCAATACTGTATGCAGGACTCCAAACATGGCCTCGTCAGTGCTCTGTACAACTGAAGCATAAATGCCTTCCTTGTGTATTCAAGTCCCCTTGCACGAGCAATAACATTCTGTTTGCTTTTCTACTGAACTTGCTGTACCCATATTAATCTTTTGCAATTCATGCACTTAGGTGTTCAGATTCTACTGCAGTTCAAGACTCTGTGATCTTTCACCGAACAAGGTTTTTTTTTACCTACTCTTTGAACATATCTTTTTGTAGTCACTTGTGTCCCTTTCACAACTTACTTTCCTCCCTATTTTTGTGTCATTAGCAAGTGTAGCAACATAAAGTGTTGAGCCCTAGCAGTGATCCATGTGGCAGATCACTTATTTTATCTTGCCAACCCTAAATTACCTAATTTATGTTTACTGTTACTTTTCCTGTTTACCAGACGATCTCCCATCAGTGTTAATTGCCCCCATATCATGAGCCTTTACTTTCTATAATAATCTTTGATGTAACACTTTATCACTTCTGAAAATCTAACTAGAGCATATTGCTTTTATTTACTGCACATCCAACTTCAAAGAAATCCAATAAATTGGTTACATACGATTTCCCTTTTACAAAGCCATATTGACTGTGTCTGATTACATTGAATGTATCTAAGATCCTAGTTATGATATGTTTAATAAGACCTTGCAGTGTTTTCCTTAAAAACATTCCAAGCTAACTGGCCTGTAGTTTCCGGATTTCTGTCTCCATCATTTTTTGAATAAAGGAGTTACGTTAACTACTTTCAAATCTAATGGAACCTTTCCCAGTTCCAGTAAATTTAGAAAAATTGAAATCAACACATCAACTACTTGACTGAGATAACAAGGTGTAGAGCTGGATGAACACAGCAGGCCAAGCAGCATCAGAGGAGCAGGAAAGCTGATGTTTCGGGCCTAGACCCTTCTTCAGCATCTGCAGTTCCTACTATCTCTGAAACTACTTGACTGACTATTTTTAAGTCCCTAGGATGAAAACCATCAGGACCCCTGGACATGTCAACCAATATTTGCTATTTGTTAAGTACTACTTCCCTGGTTATTGTAATTTTCTTGAGTTCCTCCATTGCCTCCCATCCAGAAAGCTGTCAATAGGGATATTACTTATATCCTATATGGTGTAGTTTGATGCAAAATAACAATTCAGTTTATTTGCTTTCACCTTACTTTCCATTATTATTTCCCAGTTGTGAAAAGTTTCCCAGTGTAGAAAGTTGTCAAAGGATACAGCAGGGTACAGATTTGTTGCAGATACAGGCAGAGAAATAGCAGATGGAGTTTAATCCGGCTAAGTCTGAAGTGCTGTACTTTGGGAGATCAAATGTTAAGGACAAGTATACAGTTAATGGCAAGACCCTGAACAGCAGTAACATACAGAGGGATCTTGGGGTTCGAGTCCATAGCTCCCTGAAAGTGGTCACGCAAATAGACAGGGTGGTAAAGAAGGCATATGGTATGGCCTCCTCTACACTGGTGAGACCAAGCGCAGACTCGGTGACCGATTTGCAGAACATCTGAGCTCTGTACACTATAGTCAACAACACCTTCCGGTTGCCTGGGTCACTAATGTCCTTTAGAGAAGGAAACTGCTATCCTTACCTG